TAGTATATAATTAAGACAAATCAATAAAATAAATTAGTTGCAGTGACTAGAGCAGACCAGCCCCTATAGGTAGCAACCGTTCACGAGTATGACGGGTGAGCCAGCCAACATTGCGCTCAACTATATTTTAGGGAATACAATAACCCAGCCCACCACTTCACCACGTGTTTGAACCTTTTAGTGAGCACGACTTACTCAAGGCCCCCAACCATGATCATAGCCAAATTTAAATAATTTTATACTACATAACAGTTGCTACATTTCACTATTTGAAACCAATTATAAGCCGATAATGGTTGTTCTTTTTGTAATCAAAATGGACACAATAAAGGGGTAATTATTAATTAATTTTTAATCAATACTTATATTCTACTACGTATGAGAGTGTCGCCCTCTGGTGACACAATTTTGTAGTCCGCTATTACACATTTGTGCCTGTAATAATCACAGATTTGTTACAAATGTAAATGAAATTCGACACACAGCACAAATGGACCAAATCGTAAATTACAATTAGAATACATTACAACCTCATTTGGGAAGATAAAACTGTATGGTAATATTAGTTTTCACTCGCGACTTCATTTGTATGAACAGAATAAAAAGTAATCTACCTTCTTCCTCTATCCCAAATACTACAGCTACCGGAGAGAAAGGTATCATTGCTGATGGAGTCTAGAAACTCCATTGTTACCAATATATACTGGGAGACTTTGTACAAAAGGCGATTGCTTGGGTACCTCTGTCTCATTCGTGTTTCAACTGTGAAGCAGCTGTGTTTGCATGGCTGTGTTTCGGTTTAAAGGGTGGGATATGGCGTGAATTTACTAGGTACAGAGGAATAACTCTCTGAGGACTCAGGTAATCCTCAGGAATGGCAACGGTATCATGGGCGAAACAGTATACTCTGTTATGTCCATGGTACTGCTCGTGTATATAGGCGACGGTTACCACTTTCCATCAGGTGGGCCGTCAGCTTGTTTTCCATTCTAAGTTGTATAAAAAAACTGTTAGGTTGACTTCCACGTGGTTCTCCCTGGAAACTATCGTACCCAAATTCTTCTTAAATTCATCACGATGGACTGACTGACGTGCTTTCTTCCCCTTATTATCTCTCACTGTTACCCCGTCAGCGTATACCGATAACGCAGGAGGGGTTGCTATTCCATTTTTACGACACTGCAAACAAAACAAGCATATGGCCCAACTAGTCTTATGCCCAAAAAGTGTTTGCAGATTGTGTCATAGTGAGGAAGAAACGCCGCAGCACTGAATGTGTGGCTACAGCCCACTCATACATAAACGATATATCTCCTTTGGAAAACACACTCTGTACCCTGAGGAGATAAAAAACGTCGCTACAAAAACATCTTAAAATTCCTATCACTGATAAGAAATCCGAGCACTCTGCGAAGATGAAAAACACGCTACAAAGAGCAAAAAAGATACTGATGGAAAAGTCGGCGTGTCAAAAAAGATCATGGAAAAAGTGTTTTTTAATGTTATAATAATTCCATTTTTACCCATTAAAAATAATTGTAACTACATACGTGTATACCATATTTTATGACGATCAAGTGAACTTCTGTAACTGTAATTAACGCAATGTAGGACGACCCCCCACTAGATGGAGTGACGACCTGAAATGCGTTGCAGGGAGTCAGTGGATGCAGGTGGCTCAAGCCCGTTCTTTATGGCAATCTATGGGAAAGGCTTATGCCTACCAGTGGACGGATAATGGTTGAAATGATGATGATGATGATGAACTCCAATGTAATAACTACCGATTTAGCTTCGTGTAATTTGGTCGAGAAAGCTCGACTAGTTTCGGGATCATTCGGGACCTTTAACCTTGAGCGGCTGTGTCTCGAACATGACTGCGCGCGTCGGTCTCCAATTTGCGCTCAGAGGTAGTTACTACATTAAAACATTTATAATGTGTAGTTATGAATATATGTATATGTATTATTATATACAGATATGTATCTATTTTGATTTTAATTATATGAGTTATTTTGTATATATTTATTTATTTATGTATTCATTAGTACATATATGTGTGCATAGCGGACTTAATGCTAAAAGCATTCTCTCCCAGTCAACCATAGGGAAGTGTCAGAATACTCGAATGCGGTACTAGTAATTATTGATATACATACACACTAAAATTACATATATAAACGAATAAATATATATAAATAACAAATATACTTACACATATATGGCATATATTATATTATACACGAAATTGAGAATAATATAAAGCACTTACTGCTCGGATATAGTAAAAAAGTGAGCGTGAACGTTTTTTTTGAAAGACGGTTTAGCCGGTAGCCTCTTAATGGCATCAGGAAGCGCGTTCCAGAGTCGTGAAGAATGTAGGAGAAAAAAGTTTGAAGCGAAACCAGTACGGTGAGAGGGGAAATATAGTTTGGAGAGTAATATTGGAACGAAGGTATATTTATTATTTCTTAATAGAAACAACTATACTGTTCCCTCCAATTACTGTACGCACAATGCCCGCTGGTAATTACTGCTCCTTTCCACTCAGGGATTGCTGGAAGAGAACTCTTACAGAGTTAAGCTCGCCTGTTGTACATCTTCATTTTGTATATTATATGTTTGTAATTTTTTGTGTACAATAAAGAATTAGGGAAGAAGAATATGAAACAATTACAACAAACAAAACAATACGATTGATTGAGCTGATAAAGCATAAAGATTGCCTTTGACATTCATAATATTAGTAAGCTTGTTAAATCTATAGTGTTAGAGGTTGTAGCAAAAAGTATTATTCAAAAATATGTTAGCTTAGCTGGCATGTCGTACATCCTGTTACTTCAGAGCATTGTAAAAACAACGATAAAGCGTTTTTTATTAAAATACCGATTCCGTTCTCCGCAGAAAATAAAACATCATTGAAAAAAATGTGAATTAAAAAATAAATTAGTCGTTCGGAAATCGAATTAAGAAATTCTAATTTAAATTCGGTCGAAATTCTCGCTCATTCTTTTGCATTCGTTTAGACTTTGTAGAGTAATGAATGTAGGGAAATTAAATATAAGTTCATTTTCAGTATTTCAATGTCTTTTGTGTCTGTTCTATTGTGAAAAAAAAAATTAGAGATACAAACGATTCATGCGTTTGATATACGCTAACACAGTCTTGGTACTCCTTCTAAATAATGTGAATCTGCATCATATTTCTTAGTCGTTCTATTTGTGTAAATCTGGGCCCCAAATTACATAGATAGAGCCTCGAGCCTCAAAAACGGATCAACTTTTTATCAGCTAACTACTAACCCGTTTTTTTTTGTCAGTGTTCTATATACTTATGCATACAAAATCTTGACTTATTATTTAATAAATAAAATAAGTATTTACGCATTAAAAATAATGCAGAATTTATAAGACAAAATAAATATAAAAATTATAAAGAAATAACCCATAACTATTTATTAAGCAAAAATGTACGAAAAATTGGCATGCTTTTCTCGAAGCATTTGTATGGAGGCACTCCATCTATATAATCTAAGATGTGGATATTTCTTCGCATATTACATCTATGTTTGTTTACAAAAGAAATCTGTTTTATTTTTACCAAGAAAAAATTTTCTGCAAAAGTCACGTTCATGGATACCTCTGCCCTGCTTGGGTTTCCGCCATCGAGCAACTTTGTTTACATAGCTGTGTTTCTATTTGAAAAGCGGGATATGACAGTGAAATAACATAGTGCAGCATCACAATACCTTAGTCCGGGGTGAAAGTGCTAGACCACCTGTCCCATTACACTGGCAGGTTGACCTCCACGTGATCCCTTCTGGAAACCATCGTGCTGAATTCCGGGTGTATTCATCACGATAAGCTAACTGACATGCCTTTTCATTCTCACCTATCATCCCTCACTATTATCAATTTAATAGATTAAAATATATATAATACCTTAGTCCTCAGGAAAAACCACGTTTACATGTAGGTCACAGTCATCAGGCGGGCCATCAGCTTATCTGGCATTTCAATTTTCATAAGAAAAAATAGAAACCTTTACAAACTTTCTCGTTTATATTATTAGATGGAAGTAGGACAATTACCTGTGTCAGTGGGGAGGCTCTTCCCTTTTCGCTTCCTTCGCTCGTCTTTAAATTTCTAAATTGTATTTAAACTTTATTTTTCATAATATACTGAAGTAATTGTATGGGCATTTTAAAACTTCGCAAATTACTTTCCATTTCTTTCCGTAGGCATCAATCATATTAATTATAAATGTTACAAAATGATTGATTGTGCTTCAAACTCAGAAGGTTGTTAGTGAATTATATAATGCTTGTTATAATTTTGCAAAAGACATGACCTCGAGTAAGATCAATCGGAGCCATTGTAATATTTCAAAAAGGAATACATTATCAATTAGGCTGTATCTATGTCTTTGATCGTACATTTCACGATATCTTTGCCAATTGAGAACTTTTGATTGATTCTTTGTTTAATCTTTATTCCTATATCGGCCTCGTACTTACTTTATAAACGTTAAGTCCTTCAGCGTATATTTTTTTGATTTAACGATGATAAGTTAATCAGTCATCTTTATAATTTTAGTAGACAACAATATTGTACTTAGCTAATGTCAAATTATAGTTAAAATGTAAGCCTAAGAAAAACATTCTTTAGTTTCAAGCTGTATTTAGTTACTACATGTTGCAGTACTACAAACTACTTACAGCAAATTTATTAAGTTTTCTATGAGTCATCAGTATGAATACCATCATTCTGCAGTTGTATATCGTTTAAAAATTAACATTTATAGTTTGTAATAAAAAAGAAAATTATGATACTTCAATTAATTTAGAGCAAATGTTATTAAAATCGCCGATGCGAATATTCCCGTTTCAACATGATTCTCAGAAAAAATGCCAATTAAGAAACCACGATCAATGTGGGTATGACGTCTACGATGGAATATCTTGTATGCGTTCGTTAATTGTTACTTTCTCTTTGTTACAGGTAGAAGGTATGCGGGCTTCTAGGGTACCCGCTACCTTGCTACTGTTCCTCCTTGCATTAGCGGAACTTCGTGCAAGCAGGAGCAACGATGAAGAGAAGGAAAAAGCCACACAAAATATAATTAATGTATGTGATATAAGAGACAGAAACTCAAAACTTCACTGTTACTGTGAATTAAATCAAGAAATAAACAGAGCATCTAAAACAGAATGTTGGGTATTCAACGGTGGCATAGAAAAATCAGATCCAGTATGGACAAGTTTCAGTACACAAACTAATATAGAGACGTTAGCTTTCAACGTGAGAGCTGACGGTGCACTAAAATTTGTGCCAACAAAGGTGCTAAGGTACCTGCAAAAACTGAAAAAAATTAGCATAAAATTTAGCTCCATAACAGAAGTAGAAGAGAATACATTTATTAATCTAACATATATAGAAGAAATAACAATGATTAAAAACGAAATAGAATATTTAAGTAAGCATTCTTTTAACAATCTACCGCACCTCTCTTTGCTCATTTTAGACGAGAACAATATAAAAGAACTTGTAACTGATACATTTTATAAGACACCCAACTTGCAGAAACTGTATTTTACAAGTAATAATATAAGTATAATACAAGATGGAGCATTCAGGCATCTTGTCAATTTACTAGAGCTAGAATTGGATAAGAACAATATAAGTGAACTCAGGAAAGAATGCTTCGAAGGGCTCGCTAAACTGAAGCGACTCGATCTAAGTCACAACAAGATATCTGTTCTTAACTCGTTTACATTCACCGAGTTGTGGAATCTGGAATTGTTGTTATTACATTACAATGATATAAGCATTGTGGCTCAGAGAAGTTTTGATGGACTATCGCAATTAAAAAAGCTGAATTTGAGCCACAACAACCTCATAATTCTGGCAGGAGAGCTCTTTGCAGGTGTAAGAGGATTACTTGGATTAGATTTAAGATATAATATCCTGAAGAGATTTACATTTGATGATGTGAATCCAATTTACGAAAATTTATTAAAAGAGAACAGTTACATATATCTTGAGGGTACGTATTTTAATACTGAATTTAATTATTCTAAAATAATATACTCACACTGGTAATAAATACTATCACTCACACTACACCATTCAATTAATATTACAAATGTGAATGACAGAGGAATAACACCTGAGTCCTCAGGAATGGCAACGCATGAGAGGTATCATGGGCGAAACAGTATACTCTGTTATGTCCATGGTACTGCTCACTGCTCACGTCTATAGGCGACGGTTACCACTTTCCATATATATATATATCGATATATATATATATATATATATATATATATATATATATATATATATATATATATATATATATATATATATATATATATATATATATATATATATATATATATATATATATATTTCTTACTCAGTCACTCTTAAAAGATTGAATAGATTTGATACAGAAGAATATTCTAACTTAACACAACATTTAGGATACTTTATATTCCAGTGAGTAAAATCACGAGAAACAGCTAGTATTTACATGAATCAGTGAATACTGTACCCGGCATTGTAGTCGTGAGCGAAATGATTATTATTACAGGATAAAGAGTATACAGATATATTAGTCCTAAAATATGGCAACACATGAAGGGTATCGTGGGCATCTTTGTTATGCCTATGGCACTGTGAATGTCTATTGGCAACAGTTACTACTTTCTATTAGGAGGACTGGCGACTTGTCTGGTCATTCTAAGTTGCATAACAAAATTAACCACAAATTTTCAATTCATTTCAATTGCCCACATTTCGCCGAGCACTCTTCTCCTTTCATTCAAAAGAATGATAATAAAAATATTATCACTTTAAAATATGATAGAGGACGCATTTTATTCATTGTTGTTAGTTATTTTGCAATTTATTATATTTTTTTTTCTGCTGCAACATTATTAAAATATTTAATGAAAAAATTAAAGATGCATAAATCACAACCTAATCGAGCAGTAAGTTAAAATCGTCATTAGAAATAACCATTTAAAAGATTGTGGAGGTTTGTTGCTGTATCGTTCTCTTGATAAATGTAACTCCTTGCGGAGTTCTTGAAATATAAATATTTATAAGTATTTATTACATTTGTTTGATATAAATGGATATTGTTTTGTGGCACGCGCAATCGCATTTGCGTTACTTAACTGACATGGACTGTGATTAATTAAAGTTGTAATAACGAAGTCAACTACGCGTGCCGCAACATGTCACTGATATGCCGAAATATATAGTATTTGTCCGTACATACATATATACATAGATATGTGTAATTTTAATGAAGTCCTTTTTTTATTAACGTTCTACAAAATTTTGTAATAAGAATGTCATTTTAATGGACTGAAATAGATCTAGTTAAAATAAACAATCCAAAATTCATTCACATATGAACAGAAATTGAGACAATAGTCTGATATAAGGCAAACAAAAAATTAAATAGGAAAGATTCCAAATCATTTGGTCATCATTATCAGTCATCGGTTAGAAGTAACTGTTAAGTTTGATTCTAATATTAATATGATTTATATTATCTTTTCAAAAGTTTAATTCATTTATATATAATATAATAAAATTATTTTTTAAGTATATAGAATTTTTTACATTCCTAAATAAATTGGTACTAAGCAACGTTATTGTCATAAACTTGTTCACAATGTGTTAGCTAACGATAGACGCCGATTACCTTTGGCCGTCTTAAAATTATTTGAAACTCGAACACAAGTTGGATAACAAGAATCCCGCACATATGTTATTAACCAATTCCATACATCGAATCCCTGTAACTAGAGCCATCACGTGCACGTTCCTGACTCTGAAGAAACCTTCTCACATTTTTTTATAGATTCCTATCCCTCTCGGGAAAATCTTGGCAGGAAGCTCATCCCAAACCGCGTTCGGGGAAAGATACTTCTCACCAACCGCACTATACGCGACCAGATTCTTAAGATATTTCAACTACAAACTACATAATATATTTATTTATAGATATATTATAGTGTTTATACGATACAGCACCGCAAACCGTCAACGGATTTCCGCAAATCAAGCCTGCGGCGAAAGGTACAGTCGAATTTATGGATCGTATTAATATTATGTAACCTATAAATTTTACCTAAGCTTCGCTACTTGATCTGCGAAACACTGACAGGATAAATATAACGACATTTTGTAAGATACAGTAGGAGAATATTCGCTCTGCTTTATCAACTGTGAAGTTTTATGTAAACATCTCTATGAAACATTTTATTAGATAAGGTGCCGGCTAGCTTTGTTTGTCTTGGAAACACCTATTACTTATAAAATGAACTTTAACATCCTAAAACAATGAGATAGACTATAAAAGAAGATTCTGTCGCCCACTCAGTTACTAACTTAAGACAGATTATTCGCTCCAAAAGATTACATTAGTAAACTTATCAAGACACGAAAATTACAAGAAAAGATCATACTTGCATATCACATGCAATTGTAATTATTATTTGTATTATCTATCCGATTTAATTAAAGGATTTTTTTATGCAACTTAGAATGGCAAACAAGCTGACGGCCCACCTGATGGAAAGCAGTACCATGGACATAACAGAGTATACTGTTTCGCCCATGATACCCCCCATGCGTTGCCATTCCTGAGGACTCAGGTGTTATTCTTTTGTACCCTGTATATTCACTGCCATATTCCACTCTTTAAACCGAAACACAGTCATGCAAACATAACTGCCGTTAGCTTGTTTGCTTTCTAAGTTGTATAAAAAAAACTGCTTCACGGTAGAAACACGAATGGGACAGAGATGCCCAAGCGAACGAATTTTGTACAAAGTCTCCCTCTGGTAAATAAACATAAGCTCCCATTTTATAAACAAAGTTACTTGATATAAATGAAAGAGATTTCTTTACTGGAGCTTTTAACATTGCAACTTACATATTATATAGCAACCATAATACTACATTTAATTTAGTACCTTAAGAGTCACTACCTATACCAACTACAACTTCGTATAGTGCAATAATTTACCACTTCATTTCTAAATATCTAAAATAATAATTGTAAACAAGAGGTGTAATAATGAGACATTATTAAATCAAAAATCTTCCTTTACCTGACCTAAGATTTTTGCATACCTAATGCGACAGGAAATCAAATAGCTACTAACAGAGAATGTAACATAATAAAAAAATATGATACCGTATCAAGAACATTACGTGTGTTAATTAGAAAATTGGAATATTCGCGTTGGATATAATTAAATTATCTTAGAAAAATCAATTACGCTCAGTCAGAGCGTACAAAAGTCATCATTAGTCCAATTAGAGTTAATTAAGATTTCAATTGTTACAGGCAACGAACTACTTTGCGATTGTCACCTGGCTTGGATGCATAAACTCCGACATGAAACGAAGAGTATCAAAACAAGAACATCGTTGGAAAATTTCATTTGCAAATTAAGCCCCGACCTAGCTCTAAACTCGCAACTTGCCCTTTTTGAAAAGAACGTCATAAGTCCAAATAACAATTATAACATAGACGATAAGAATGCTGATAATTTTGATGATAATTCTGATGATATTTTTCAAGATGATATGGACGAAACTAGCGCTCAGGAAGTACAACTTGTCAAAAAGGAGAACGAAGGTACATTACTTCAGATACCTATTGATTTGTTACCCTGTCCTCAAGACGTAAAAGTGACAGACAGGACATACACCTATCCATCACAAAACGAAGCGAAAGATTACAGAAATCTAATCCACTCGTCAAAAACTTCTCAGCTTCATACTAATATTTCAATATCATTTTTAATATTCCTTGTACTACTGATAATATTAACTACTTAATCATACATATTATGTTATTCAATGGACTGAAAAATAAATATAAAATTGATATAATTTAATAATTTCCACATATTTGAATTGAACTTTTGGACAAAATGTATTTTCGAGGACCATGTATTATATTAGGATATGTTAAGGGATTCCTCGTTACTCCTAAATCGTATTTTTTTGTGGGAGAATATATAGCTAAGAATTACATTTAATAATTCCAAATAGATAATTTCTTACTACAGTATTTTGTATCCCAAAAATTTATCAAATTTAATTGTTCTTATATAATATCTATATTATACTTTGATCGGTTTTTTTTTTATTATATTAATCTCTAGATTATATATTTATTGTTAAATGTGTGTTATCTACATTTTAAATGTAAATAGTTATTTAATGTTATGTAAAAAAAATGTGATATAAATGTTAAGTGTAACTTTAAAAAGAACGTTTAGGCATAATTTATATTAAGCTATAATGTTATATTCCATTGTGATTTTCTAAGAGAAACTAAAAACATAAATGCCGGTTAAAATTTTACATACTTATTTATCAGTGAAATTTTTCCAAAGAATTTTCAATGTACCTAAATTAATATTAAAATTTTATTTATATTATTATAAACTCATTTAAATTATTTTTGTTTTTAAATTTCAATACATTACGTGTATCTTCTTATATCTTTCATTAGATATGTTTTTATTTTTATAACTTTCATCATTTATTACAGCGGGTAACTAAATAATCATTTTGGACAATTAACATGCATGATTATTTACATTTCAAATGACGTTTCTATAATACTGGGTCATGCGGGGGTCATGTCCAGAGCGTGCCCGTCGCGACCCCTGCCAGTCAACTGACTGCAATCTGGACCTAGACCGACTGTCCCCGTCGAAGGAAAAGCATGACAGAATTGTGTATCTTCTTTTAATGTAAAAGTTTATCACCGATGCGCCGACAGTACAGTAATGCCAAAAAGAGGTAAAGCAAGATTTATTGTAAAGATTTACGTGACAAAAACGAGAATAACGCCAAGTAATCAAATAACACTAAAATTACGGAGGTAGATAAAACAAATAACCCTCACTTCTCTTCTTCTCTCAAAATCTTGGATCTGGAGTGGTTAGCTAACTTCTAAAATGGATAAATTCCAATATTGTTAACATTCTCTTCATTCAATAAATCATTTGTGAATATGTTATCTTGTTTGCTAAAAATATGAAAACATAAAAACAAACATTTTCGTAGCAAAACTCTGAGCACAAGGTAAACTGATACCAGCATGTAGGAAATACTCGTAGACGTGGCCAAAAGTGGAATGATAAAAGCTTGTCAAGGAGAATGTAAGAAATGGAACAGGTGATACGAAGTATGAAAAATATTCGGGAAACGATCCGATATCTGCTAGAATGATAAAAAGCTCGTATGGTTGAAGCGATATATTTGCTGTAGTATTGTTTTTAACATTAAAATATTTATTGTTCATTTTTGTTTTTGTTGTTTTATTATATATTTTTTTCGCTGTTGATTATTTGTTATTATTTCTTTGTTAGTAGTACAGTTTTTATTACTAAAATCTTTAATGATTATTCTTATTGTTGTTGTTTTCTTTACTTTTTCCTGTATTTATTGTTTATAATAAAATCTTTACTATAAAACCAGGATTACTCCAATGGGTAGCATGGTGACAGTGCTCTTGTTCTTAGATAGGGGCTCGTGCATTAACTATACTTAGGTTGTTACTTTGATTAGCTGCGCAACGAAATATAATTTTCTCTACATACCCGGTATGGGACCTAGCGTGAAACATAGATGTGGTATAACCTTTGGGAACCAAAGGAACACAATTATATCGTTCATTATAAACAGTGATTTTTTTAAATAACTAATATATGTGCTATAATTTATATTTCTAACATGTGATAATGTTATAAAATTTTACAAATTCAAACTATGTGATTTTATTAATACATAAATATATTAATATTATAAACACATTGTAAACATAGTGTCTGTTACTTTTTCATGCTTAAACTACTGAACAGATTTGAACGAAATTTGTTATACGAGTATATTATATTCTATCCTAGATCCGCGAAATACAGTTAGTTAAAAATATAGTCAATGTGGACACACTAAGTCATTAACCTTCTTTGTAAAATTACTTCAAATTATTATTTCAAAATTGTTTTCGCCAACGCCAAAAACTGAAACATAATTTTAGGTTGTACGAATAAATAGAAAAACGTATGTACATAATCCTTATGGTATTATGTATAATAATTATAACATTGTTTCTCGAACTTATTATAGTAAGGGTGATGATAAAATTATTGAATTGGTCATACATTTGAAACTTAATTCAGACATAATCTATGCACTAACTCGCTGTTATTTAAATTTCAGTATTAAATTAATTACACGATATTAGTGTTAATATATTTCAATTTTTTTTTACATCAGCCCTTATCTGTCCACTGCTAAATATACGCCTCCCCTTACTAAGGGGTTTTGCCAACAGTTGCCACACTTGGCAGGCGAGTTGACAACCGCAGTTAGTGTATTATTTTAACTTTGTGTATTATTCTTGTTTTTATATAAGTATTATCCTTTTTACGTATAAAAATTAAAATAAATTTGTTACAAACTTACTTTAAACAATATTTTTATTTTACAAACATGTATAACAATTGTATACATTGTTTAAAATACGTTAGTATTTAAAATTAAATCTCTAAATGTGTATATTTAATGTACATAGATACTTATCACATTGTTTCGTAACTATTAAGGAACTACAAATGTCGAATATTTTAATATACAATACAAACGTAACTGTAATTCAATAAATTAACTACACGTAAACATTAAGTCTCATTGAAATTAGTGTTATAGTGTTATAATTTTGTTAAATCTGTAACATTCCTTTTTATTTTGTTCATATAGTTCATAGCAAAGATTTTAAATACACAAACGGGACTTAGCGCGATGGATAACCTTTGCAGGTAAATTGTACCTACATACCTGCTTCTTTATTGCCGACGTTTCGATATGGAATGCATTGACTATGACACGGATTAGGACTGACTATCCACTAGAACTGACATCGCGTTAGGTTCCGATTGTATATTTAAAATATGTGTAAACAACGCGAAAGTGTAAAATTAACTATCCAAGATTTATGCTGAAAATTGTTCAGTGTTTTTTTTTAATATCAAATTGCTTACTTTTTGATAATATATATATACCATATATATATGCAACTTTTCAAAGTTACTTAAAACTGCGTTTATTTACAAGACAACACGATGCATTTTCAATTATATAATCAGGGATGTAGATACCATTTATTAAAAAAAAAAAGGAATTAATTTTTAACATGTATAAATCAAATTTAAATTGAAATACTACTTTGAAATATTTAATGAATGTTTTATCAATTTTATTTTATGTCGCCACCATTATGTTACTTTATACTTTTACAAGTTAAAACCAATAGAATTTAATACAAATAGTAAATATTATATGTCGTCAATTTCAATCTCTGCAAACTTACAAAAAAAAAAGTTATTATATGCAGTTTAACAAAATATTGTATAACTAAATGTCATCGTCTATGAGCCGTCAACTGTCAACTGCTGAACATATCTCTCCCCCGTAAGGGGGACAGATAAATGTAGTAGATTTCAAATCTGCGTAGATTCTAAAACTACATAAAATCATAATTTATGTTAAAAAAAAACAAAATTAAACATTTAAATTGACAATTTGAATAATATACACCATTTGTTGTACAGTTACTTTGAATTATTGAATTAAAAGTTGATGTTGAAATATTTGCTCGTATGTTTATTTTTCATTACACCCCCATTGACTGTACCGTTTATAATTAAATTTGTTGTAATCTTAAGGAGATTAAATACTGTCGCATCGTGCATTACGAGAAAAACAGTTTTGTAATTGAAAACGTGTCTGAATAATATTTTCAAGGAGGTCGTTATTAAAAATAAAAGGTGTGGTAAACATAATAACAGAATTGTTTGGAGGTTTAATTTAGAAATCCAGCATGATTCCTAAATTAAACCACGTAATATTTTAATCCAATAATGTATTTTAGAATGAATTTGAGGGTTTATATAATGTTTTCAGTAAATTTTGCTTGTACGTCACTGTGGCTGGAGTTCATTATAGAACTTTAAAAATAGTGAATTTCGATTTCTATTCTTAAGACGAATATTAAAAAAATACCCAAAAAAATACCCAAAACATAGAGGTAAAAGGTATTCGCGGCTTTAATTCTAATGACGATGGTCAGAAATGGGGTATTCTATATGGCGCATTAAAATTAGAAACAAATTTAACAAACTTCTTACAATGAAATAAATGGATTACATAATTAAAAAATAAAACACAAAAGATAAATAAAATACAAAAAAAAATACTATCGTACAAGATATTGTTGTATCAGCCGTTAAGTGCCAACTGCTGAACATTGTTTTGGCAGTAGTTGCCACGCTTGGCAGGCGAAATGGCAACCGCAGTTAGACTTTGGTAATGTTTTAAAAGAGACGCTGCTACCCTCTCCATCATAAGCGCCCTTAGTCGCCTCTTACACAACCCACGGGAAAGGAAAGGGTTGACCTATTCTATGCCAGCACTTCACGAGAATGCATACACGCATATATTAGTAAAAAAAATAAAAACAATGTCATAATAACTTATTATTATGATACTTGCTTTGATAAGCAGATGAGCGTGAGACGCCATAATCTCGGCTTATATCTGAACTTGAGCCAGTCGGATAAAATAACGGCACCATACAGTAAACCTCAACGTACGACAGGCACTCACCTTAGTTACTTACGCCCCAAAATGTTCACGCTTTAAAACCTTTCCTTTGTACAGAGACTGCGCGAAGTTTTTACGACGCCCTAGGGCTAAACTTTAACACTGTTTTAATTAGTTGGGGTTATTTTCTCGCTCTCTCCAAAATTGAGGTAAACTCACTTGAAGTTGTCGCATTATACCCGAATGTGTTCATATGACCGGAATATTTGAGAATTTATATCGGGGATTCATAATAATTGTATCATTTCTGGGAAGCGAACTGATAGCTCAAAGCTTTCACGAGTATATTTGTACGTATAATAATTTGATTATATTTATTTAAAGATGTAGGTTTATAGGATGATACGCATTCAAGTATAAAATAAATTTCAATTGTACGGTATGTCTCTTTGATCAATAACACTCGGATGGTATCTGTCTAAAAATTCTTCGATAAAACGTAAAATTTTCTTAACAATTACTCACTGATCCAAAAGAGTAAAAGTGAGTTAATCTTGTAATTGGTGACTTTTATAACACACACACACACACACACACGTACACAAACACACATCTATTTTTCATACCCCTCAATGACAAGGGTAACTTACCCCTCAATATTGTTTTTTAATTTTTAAACAAAATTTATTATTTTTATTTTATTATGCTTTAGCATTGAAAAATACATATAACTTCAAATTTTATAATCCTATTGCGGATTTCAAGATGGCAATTGAATAAATAATTGTAGAACGATGAATTTTCATGTATAGTTCTCAAAATAATGTATATGGTAAAACAACGTTTGCCGAGTCAGCTTTTATATAAATCTTATAATTAATATTTTTATTATTGAAGGGCTTTTTCAGGCAAAAAAAGCTTGTGACATTGCGACCTTTCCATGATCTTTCGCACTCGCCCTTTTTTTAAAGTTCACTGCTAATTCCTATCATTGACAGGATATTTAAGATGTTTTTTGTAGCGATGTTTTTAACTCCTCAGGATATAAAATGTATTTTCCAAGAAGATACACGTATATCGTTTATGTATGAGTGGGCTACAGCCACAAATTAAGTGCTGCGGCGTTTCTTCCTCATTGTGATGAAATCTGCAAACACTTTTTAAGGATAAGCCTAATTCGGCCACGCGCTTGTTTAGTTTGCAATGTCCAGTGAGAGACCTTGTTAATACATACATATTATTTTTACTCAAAATAATTCATTTTTTAGAGTAATTTTCTGAAACTCCCTTAATCAGAGCTTTCGAATAATTCAATCCTGACAGCAAGAGTCAGGATTGCTACTTCTATTATTTTTTGCTACTTCTAAGCGTCAAGTTTGAGATGTCTAAGCATTAAGCTTTGAGGTATCGTTTCCCTATTCTTTACTAATTGGTCAGCTATTTCATTTATATGAATATTTGAGTGACCTGGGTTCCATTCAAAAAAATGTTATTTCTGCTGTCCAAGTAATTTAATAGTTAGATTTAATAAGTACAAGTAATGCCCCTTGACTATCCGAAATATAAATAAATATATTATTAGTTATGTATTTAAAACCTAAATTTAGTTCTACACACCTTATTATGGCCATAGTTTCTTCCTGAAAGATTGTAGCATACGTGCCAATAATTTAAAGAGCTGTGGACTATTGTTCTTATACCATAGATACCATATCCCACATTTCCTTGTTTTTCGTGATTTGTGATCTGTGAACTAAACTAAGTTGTGTTCTGATTGAAATAGTAGGTAATCTTTATTTGTCTCTTTCAGAAATTTCAATTCTATAGTATTTTTCAAAATTGCATTCTGTAATCATGTCTTCTGGCATTCCCAGAATGAGATCTCTCATTGTTAATTCTTCGAGGGTTTTGAGCGTCCTTCTATGAGAACTATTTCGAAGCACACTGTATTTAACCTTTTTCTATATATCTCTCATCTACATCCAGCTAAACAACGACTAATGCCCAGAGCAACTTTAACCTTTTGAATAATATTATCCATATGTGGGTTCCATATCAAGTTTTGGTCTATGGTTCCACCCAGGTACTTAACTTCTTTAGAAAAGTTGATAACTTCACCATTTACTGTAGGTGTAACTAACTTTTCTAGTTTCTTTCTCATTTAGTAAATGGAATGATTACAGTTTTATCAGAATTTACTGATAATTTGTTTTCATTACACCATTTTATTATGATGTTAAGAACTGTTTGGATACGTTCTGATTTGGTATCTTCACAGAAACCTCTGACCCTAATTGCAAGGTCAATGCCATAACCATGTACTTTGATGTAGTTATCAGTTATTCGTTCCAAGAGTTTATCTACTGTTAGAAGCTACAGACAAGGCGATAAGACATCTCCTTGAGGTCATCTTCTAGTAGCATAAATTTCATGTAATTTATCATGAAGGTTTGTCTCTATTATCCGGTTGGAGAGCATTATTTTCATTCGTTGGATGAATGTTTCGTCGACCTCTTTCGGGAGAGACCCTGTATAATAGAGTCAATAGGGATTGTATCAAATGTATCCTTATTGTCAAGAAAAGCACATTGTGTTATTAGTGCTACTTGCTTGTCTTCAAGAAATTTTTGGACCTCATCGGTGACCTCGTGCAAGGTGGTTTCAGTTATTTGTCCCTTGCAATAGTCATGTTGATTCCTATGCAATGGAAACTTACTGAGGACAGAAGGACTTATATGCTGATCTAGTATCTTTTCCATCGTTTTGATGAAGAAAGAGATAAGACTGATTGGTCTGTGAAACTTTAGATGCGAGTAGTCTCTTTATTTATTAATTTTATTATTAATTAACAATGCAGTTACTTAGTTGTCAGTATGATAGAAAGCTGGCTGCTTTTTCACATACCGGTTCGCCTTTCACATAGTTTCGTTCGACCAGTTTTTGGTACAAAGGTTACATTAGTCTTTATGAGTGTTTCTGGAATTAGTCCCCAGGTAGAAGTTGATTCTATATAAATAGAATTGGTGTCAGAATTTCAAGTCCCTGCTGTAGTAGACCTGGAAATATTCCGTTTTCCCCCGATGATGTGTGGGGCTTAAAAGACTTGATAGCCCATTTTATTTGGGAGGGGCCGGAAGATCCTTGCTGCTTTGTTCCAAAAATGTGTCAGTAAACACTCGGTCATATCTATATTGGCATTGAACGTTCCAATTCCAAATATATATTATCTAGAACTAGTAACCTGTCCTAGCTTTGCACGGTTTTTATTAAATCTAAATACAGTCCACTTTACTCGCTCATAATGTAGCCTTCTATAAGTAAAAGAACTTTTGAAATCCGTTAAGTATTTTTTTTTATTACAAATAAAAAAATAAATCATCCCTCTTTAAAATATTAATTTAGATATCGAAATAGTGTATTTATGCTCATAAGTCAAAGGGCTTAAAATAAAGACATTTTATGACAATTTATAGCAGCCATTTTTTCTTACTTATCATCATAACGTAGCTTTAGAGATAAAGTAACGCCCATGGTATCTACGTGCAGCTTGGAGCACTTCCTAAAGTAAGAAGAGTGTGGCGCCACCTCGTGGCAATGTATATAGACATTCATTGTACCAAAAATACGAATATAATAACGAAATATATTGATATCTCCCGTATTTCACTAGATTTAGCTATAACGACATATTATTATTTAATCTTTATTGGACAAAAATGTGTACAAATGGCGAGCTTAGTGCTATTATACACACTCGCCATTTGTACATATTTTTTTTATATATATATATATATATATATATATATATATATATATATATATATATATATATATATATATATTGTATATATTATTACATTAATATATTATTAATATAATATCACTGAATTATTGTAGTATTTATACATCTAACCAAAAAAAGGGATGTAATAACTTCAAGATACATACGTTATTTTATTCTAACATGACTTTTAAATAACTGAACAGATTTGGATATATGGGATACTGTTAGAATCCTTACATCATCCCGAGTAACTCTGGCTATATATTTTTTTAATATTACT